TAAAGGCTTAGTCATGTCTCTTGACCAAGCAATGAGCTGGTGCCCTGACAGTCTGCCTCCCCCACTGTGGCTGCCTCTTCTGGCTGGCATGCCCCTCAACAGCTGGCTGCTGTCCAGCACTTGCTCCCTGACAGGCACCATGCTGCTGCCTCTCCTGGTCTCTCTGGCTGTCAGGTGGCCTTGAATCCTCTGCCCACCACATTGGTTGCCTGGGGATGCAGTGAGCATCATACCATGTCAGCCACTTCCCTGACCTTCTGCCTCCTTAACATGACTGTTAGATGGTTGTGGTCAATTCTTTTTTGAGAGATTAGCTTGGTAGGCAGCATCTTTGCTCATCTCCTTCAAAAGCAGAGCAATGGGAAGCAGGGGGATGTCAATGAGGTGGCCACCTTTAGTTGCTTGGACAAAGTGATGCCTCTCACACTGCTCAGCATGTTTCTCCCAAATCCAGGAGAGCATGATCCAGCAGAGGAGGCAGACGGCCATGTATACCTCACTGCATCATTCACTAGTGGTCTCAATGATGCCCAGAAGATCATGATGATCTGGGTTCATGAACTCCACCTTGGTGTCATCCAGGAGTTTGGCCATATTATGAATGTGCTTTGTCAGCAGAATGAAAGTGACAGGATGAGGCAGGTGTTCAGGATGGTTCACAAACAGGGTTAAGCTGAAGAAGCATATGTTGATCTGAGTAGTGATAGCACAATGAATCTCATGCACAGCATATAAAAAATCCATTCAGCACAGTTATGGTGCCATACAAACTTGTTGTTGAGGATCATGGATCTCCGGAAGGGATTCAGGATGCCATTGTCAGTAAGACACGCTGGCCAAAACCTGCCCTTGTCCTGTAGCTCCCTCCACACAATCCAGTTTTGCAGTGTGAATGTCGGCCTAGGGTGCAATGAAGCGCGCGCAAAAACACGTTTGATTTGATCCGGGAAATGTGATCGGCGGCCACAATACACAAAGCTGTGAGACTGGATCCGACCATCATGCCTGTGGAGACGGTGGTCGAGATGGCCACTATCAACGGCGCGAGGGCACTTGCTCTCGAGAACGACATCGGCAGCCTCGAAGTAGGGAAGAAAGCCAATTTTGTCATCATGGATCTTGACAAGCTGTATACTACGCCGAACTTCAATCCTGTCTCAACGATTGTCTATTGCTGCACTGGAGCAGATATTGTCACTGTGGTCGTGAATGGGAAAGAGGTCGTCTCAGATAGGAAATTGGTGAATTGGGACGAGCAGGAGGTGATCAGAGAAGGAGCCAAGAGGGCAGCAGGACTCGCAGAAAGGGCTGGTGTAGATGTAAAGCCGAAATGGCCTGTGATTTAGATATTGCGAATCAATACATTACAATTACTCGACGTTCATTCATTACCCAGGGTCTCCGGTTATACCTCATCCAGGAGCTACCACTCCCCTGCACCTCTCTCTCCTCATGCAGTCCACCTACCGCACCTCTCCCCACGCCTGCTATTCCATCGCCTGGTCTCCCTTCCACCCCCACCGACTCGCCGTTGCCGGAGCAGCAAACTTCGGTCTGGTCGGGAACGGCCGTTTGCTCACCCTCTCTCCACAAGGAATCGACCAGGCGTGAGTGAGTGCTCTCTTGGCCCTTCCGTTCGTTGGGCTGAAGGTATCCAGATTCTCGACCCAGGATGGGCTATATGACGTGGCTTGGAATGAGCTGCATGAGAACCAGGTAGTGGGAGGCAGTGGGGACGGGTCGATAAAGCTATGGGATCTGACTGTTCCTGTACGCTCGCACCCCTCGCGGTCTCGCTCATCCTGGTTGACACCTCCCACAGGACTACCCCATTCGGAACTGGCACGAGCATGGACGTGAAGTCTTTTCTGTCGACTGGTCTAACCTCCAGAAAGACCTGTTCTGTTCTTCATCATGGGACGGGAGCATCAAACTCTTCACTCCTGACCGACCCGCCAGTCTCCTCACCATTCCCGCCGCGCAAACATGTACGTATGCGGCACTCTGGAGCCCGCACCAGCCAGGGGTGGTCGCTTCCTGCGCCAGCTCGGGGTTGTTAACCCTCTTCGACCTGCGGGTGCCTAATCTCCCTTCGAGCACTGCACCCACACCTGGTCCTACTGCTCCTGCTACGCCTGCACTAGCTGTTCCCGCCTCGCCAGGGGAACTGCTCACGCTCGACTGGAACAAGTACATGCCGCATGTGATTGCTACTTCTGGGGTGGACAAGAACATCAGGATATGGGATACGCGCATGGTCGGGCAAGGAGGGAGTGTCGGAGGTGTTTGTACGGGGAGTCTCGCTGGGCATCAGTATGCGATCAGGAAAATACAATGGAGCTCGCATAGGGCGGATGTGATCTCCAGTGCGGGCTATGATATGACGTGCCGAATGTATGCACTGCACTTCATTTCTGCGCGGATGAATGCTAACATTCTCATGCAGATGGACAACCCAACCATCCTCCCCTGGTTCCTCGAGCCAGCTGTACGTGCACAACGCGCACACAGAGTTCGTAGTTGGCTGTGCATGGTCTTTCTTCGATGAGGACGTACTCGCCACCTGCAGTTGGGATCAATCTGTGCACATTTTCCGCCCACCGTTCCCGCCACCACGGCGGTAGCACTGCGGGAGAACTGTGTGATCCTTGCCCTAGTCATGAGCTAAATGAATTATAATGTACAACATGTGATATCTCATCTACATCTGATCGTACCGAACCACGCTATGTCTGGAACTTGCGCAGTGTCTGCATCTCATCCAGTATGCCCTGCAACACATCATCATCATATCTCTGCAGCCTGTACGACCATCAGCAGCGACCCTTTCCAAGCAAGAATAATGCGTACGTAGGGATGACGCTCTTTGCTTCATCTGCGGTCAGCGGTGTGAGATTCGCGATCTGCGCCGTTTCGAATTGCGCTAGGTCGTCCATCCCCCGGGAGATGAGCGCCCGAACAGCCTGCGTCGATTCCTGAGTCGGGAACTTGGTGAACGTCCGTACATAGTCAAGCGTCTTGTTGTACACCCTTCACATCAGATCAGCACACTGAAATTCATTCCCATCGCATGCATGATGAGGAACTTACTGTGTGTCTGGGACACCTCTGTCCCGCGGGAGTTCGAGCAGGAAGCGCACTTCAGAGATGGACAAACAGAGGTCGTTGGCGAACTCCGAGCTGAGCTTGAGCTGCGAGGCATCTTCTTCCTCAGCCTGGTTTTGCTGCAGACGCAGCGCCATGTTTGATGTTGCCATCCTTGTGTAGTTCTTGTAGTGGATAGCGGTATGGATGATACGATGACTTGAACAATTGAGGAGAACGACAAAAGCGGCTTCGTGAGATTCTATGTGGCGATGCAGAAGCACAGGGACTTCTTAAGGGTCTGTCCGTTTATGGCATCTCTACACGGTGACAGCTGGACTGCAACGACCACCATGGCTGACCCAATCAAGGACCCAACATGGTCAATACACAGGTGTGTATTCATGAGAAATGCATGAGGTGTCAGTTAAATTGTTGAAAGTGCACAAGACTTTGTCAATAAAGCCGCTTCTACAGCTGTGCATGCTGCTTCGTGCGTCGCGTCCTCTGCAGCCTCCACCGTCACCGCTAGCGACGCAGCGACAGCAACCTCCTCTCTCGTCCATGCCACTCTCCCAGGTGCAACCCAGGTTCATATCTCAGATCCAGAAGGATTGGACCTCACGATCTGTCGAGTGTGTGGAACACAGTACTCCACTCCCGAGGCACGCACCACCTGCCCAATCTGCGAAGACCCGCGGCAGTACGTGCCCCCTGCTGGTCTCTCATGGACCACTCTGCGGCAACTACGTTTCAGTGGAGAGTACACGAACCAGATTACGCCCATTGCGCACAACCCGTACGCACATTCGATCGTCACTGTCCCCCGTTTCGGTATTGGCCAGCGGGCGATCCTCATCCGCACTGGAAAGGGGAACATCCTCTGGGACTGTGTTGCCTACCTAGACGAAGCGACCATAACAGCCGTGAAAGAGCTAGGAGGGATAAGCGCAATCATTATATCCCATCCGCACTTCTACACCACCGCAGGCGTCTGGGCCTCAGTATTCGGGTGCACAGTCTACACCTCCGCGCTCGACTCCCGCTGGCTGCAGTACAAGACCCCCTCCCACTTCCTCTTCACTGACGGGCAGGAGATCCCCCTCGTCCGCCAGGGAGTGGTCGATATCGCCGTCTGCGGGGGCCACTTCCCAGGCTCGCTCGTCCTGTGCCACGACCACAGGCTCTATACCGCCGATACGATCCAAGTGGTCCCCTCCGGGCTTAACCCACATCCTCCTGCTGGTCACTCAGTGCAGAGCGGCACTGTGAGCTTCGCGTTTATGTGGAGTTACCCGAATATGATCCCCCTGGATTGGCGTTCTATACGGACGATATGGAAGGCGGTCGAGCACTTGGAGTGGAAGGACGTGCATGGAGGGTTCACGGGATTGGACGTCTATGGAGAGGGGAAAAAGAGGGTGTATGATAGTGCTAGGATTGTGATCAAGCGCGTGGGTGAGAGTGATGATGCGCTGTATGACTGAGCGTGTGGTCGGTTACAGTAGACTTCGGATGTAGGTTTGGGTTGATAGAATCAGATTGTAGCGATATGCATTGTAGGATGGATTGTTGTAGTCAAAGAATATCAAAATTGGGTTATTATCCTCGAGTCTATTGTTGGTAATTGCTACATGTATTATGTCCAGATCCCTGATGACGAACCACTGCGTTCCGTCTGCCAGTGGTAATCAATTGAAAGGGCGCATGCAGAACGCGCCTAAACACCTGTCAGAGAACCTCCGTTCGCAACCTTCCCACCCCGTTCGACCACATCTGAATCACTCGCCGTATCCTCCTGAGCAAGCGTCCCACCGCCCTCATACCCGACATCCACATCCACATTCTCTTTCCGCGCCACGTTCGCCTCTCTGATCTCCTTGCGCGCCTTGCGCATCTCAAGCGAGCGCATGAGCAGCGTAAATGTCGGCATGGTTATCAGGCTCAGCCCCGCCCAGGAGAGGAGGACGGCCGCGTTCAGGCCCAGAGCATTCCGCGTGTTGAACAAGATGGTGCGAACGGCTTGGGCGAGGTTGAATACCGGGAATCCGTATCCGTAGCGATAGAACCACGCGCCGAGCTCGAACGGTGTTTGTGCTACAGAGACATTCGTGATGATCCACGGGATGAGGAAGAGGAACGCGAAGCGCGGTGTGAGGAGGGTGATCATCGCTTCTATCGCTAGGCCGAGTGCGCACATCGCTAGATAGCAATAGCACCAGTAAAGAAAGAACCCGCCCGCGTATGAGTATTTCCCGTCGAATGGGAGCTTGAAGGGGAGCGAGATCATGCTGAATGCTAGGGACAGGGGGAGGTAGGATATCAGCGGGGCAACGATCCGGAGGATGAGGTAGGAGCGCGTGCGAAGGTGGGGAGAGATGAGCATTCGTGCTTGGGCGTGCCCGTTGGACTGATAAGAGAGTTAGTGAAGTGCATATGTGCGGCGGAGAAATAACATACCCAGATGAAGGCGACGATGATCAGGTAGATCGAACCCACCAGCTCGACCGCGAGCGCCGTCGGGTCAGTATAAGGCCTAAGGTTGACCATAGTGATCGATACGGGGCCCGAGATCGTCTGCGGTGCCTGTGCCAAGTTCGCGAGAGCAGTGACGTTCCCCTGTATCTGCTGCAGGTACTCAGCAGCGAGGAGCGTGTTGAGCCTCGCGCTCGTGAGGCCCAGGATATAGTCGATCAGTTCTTGGATAATCGTATCCGTGGCAATCTCGTTCCTCGCTTCAGAGAAATACCAGGTGAGGACTTTTGTAGGATCGTAGCTTGGATCCCCGTTCGCGCGGGCTTCTTCTAGGATGGCAGTCGCGTTCTCTTGGATGACGAGGACGACCCAGACCGTCTCGTGCACTGCTACGGCGTCTTCTATGTCCTGGTCGGAGCCTGCTTGGGAAGGGGATACGACTTGCCAGCCAAGGTGACCCTCGGGGATGGGGTCCCACATCCCGTGACTGGAGTTGACCATCGCTTGAGTGACAAACTGGCCGATGAGCCCGTTCGGGTCGCGGTTCACGACCCAGGCGTTTAGGCCGGGCGAGTGGGTCAGTTCGAGCCAGAATGACCCCCAGTAGAGTGGAAGACAAGCCCAGAGGATGAGGACGATGACGATGGTCATCATCCCCATTATCTTCATGTACGCCGCTCTCAAGGGGGCAAGAGAAGGATCGAAGAACCCATGATGGTACTTCTGTATTCCATGCTGGTTTGTACCATAGGGATTTGTGGCGGCGGGCCCATGGTGGGATGGAGGAGGGAGGAGGTGTAACCGCCGTGGTTTGGGAGGTGACTGGGGATTGAAGGCGGGCGTGGAGTGGACGGTTGTCGATCGTCGGAGAAGTTTGGGTGACTCTGAGGTACCGTTTGACGTCATCGCTGATGGCTTTTGATAGGGGAGGCGGGATGAGTGGGGAGAGGGGACAAGTACGCAAGGCGGCGAAATGAGAGCCTGGGAGACGGTTTATGGGCGATCTCTGGCAGCCAATACCGAGAATGAGGGAATATTCCGATGACGTTCATCTCCCGGAGTGAGCGCTTATATACTCCAACCGGTAGGGTCTGTAGAACAGTCGCTTACGTCCGACTGCCTGGGGCGGGAAGGCTCGCCCCGCACCTCCCTTAGGAAGGCGTCAACATATCCGTTGCGAGCGCATAATTACCGGCCGCAGTCACGCAAGGGCGGATCGGAATATCAGCGAATCATTGCACGGCTTCCTCCACGCGAAGGGAATGGACCCCAGGCGTCATATTATGCGTTGGAGATTACCATCCTCTCCTGGAGTGAGTCGCCCTCGCTCCGACCCTGCACCCATCCCTATCCGGACGTCCTCGGTCGTGGGTCATCCCCAGGAGGCGGCGATGTGAAAGGGGCGAGATGCCCTCCGGTTTTGGTGCGCAGTGAAGCCAAGACAGAGGGATCTTGAGAAGGGAAGAGTGCTTCGCCGTGTTCTCTTGGGAGATGAGTCAGCGGGGTTTGCGTACGTCAAAGAGAGAGACAGAGGGCCCTGAGGGTTGACGTTTTTGTTCGGAGGTGAACCAAGAATGATGTCGTGATGCTGTGAGAATGGCTGACAAATCACACCTCACACGTAAGAACAGGTGGCTGTCCTCTCGGAGCTGATCTCGGGAGAACTCTTTGTACCGCACGTGACTAATGGTCATATGGAATGAGGTCAACGGGGTCCTGTTTTCTAGCAGCGAAGTGTTGGAGTGATCCTCCTCGTTCAAGCTATGGAGGGACGACGTCTTATGGTATGGAAATATAATTGAATATAGGACCCATATATGGATTAGAGGGACTCGGTCGTCCAGTTCACAGGGGTCTACTACACCGCTGGATTAGCTTCATATAGTCGATGTGTAGTGCAGACTGTACCGGCGCTCTGATTGGATTGTTTGAGATATCACGCTTATATTTGGTCTTTTTGCTGGGTCGCGGTCCCAACACGCCTGCATGATTTTCCACAATTCAGGACTGAGGCCCTTTTCGGTCGCTGCAGGTCCTGGATTGGGAGGTCTGAGACCGTTGATGATTCCTTTGAGAACAACGAAATCGAGAGACCCCTGGAAAGGGACACGACCAGTAAAGATCTAGAGAAAGTCAGGATTCCACAGATGGTGTATGCATTGTACGAGCAGTCGAACCTCTAGGATGGTCATACCAACCGAATACACGTCCGATGCTCGACTGTAGGCGGTTCTCTCGGTCAACCCATTTAACGTGGGATGGATACGTTCTGGTGCCATCCAGCGATATTGGCTGTGGTATCCCATGCTACTGATTGTCTCTAACAGATGCCCAGGAAGCCTTGATATGTCAAAGTCTGCTAACTTCGCGTTGCCGTCACTGTCGACAAACACATTGCGCTGAGGAGACATCATTCGAATGGACCGGCAGATGTTTAAGTACAAATACACATACCCCTCTGATGTCTCCGTGAACCAGATTCTTTGAATGTAGGTATTCTGTTCCACGAACGATGCCCTGCACCTAAGTGACAATGACGTCATAAGCACTTGTGACAATGAGTGAACTTTGGCAGCTCACCAATTTCAAGCGATCTGGACTTTCACACTCCTTCAAGTATCTCCCCAGTTCTCCAAATGGAATCCATGGAGATCTGAGGGAAATCCTCTCGCGTTCGGTATCCAAGGAGACACCGTACAACGAAACAAGGTTTGCGTGCTCCAGGCTGTACCAAACATTTGCTTCTCTCACAATATGCTACGGACCAGCTTTGTCAATATGATGCTTGAAATTCAAGCCTACGAACACACCTCCACAAATTCCTTGACCTCCTCAATATATGACTGTATGCCGAGCACATGGATAGCCACAGGTTCAGACGATCCACCAGGCTTCACTGCCACGGATCCTCTGTACACAACAGCAAATCCATCTCTTGCTATGTGATTCTCCTCGCGGTTTGCATCAATCACGGGTACTTTGATCTGCTCAACCATCTGTGTAAACCATCCATCGTCGCTGCGTGGACCTGTATCAAGCATCACGCCCTCACTGAGCTCAGTATGGTTGTCTGGCTGTCGAGGCTGCGGGGAAAGGTGCTGTGCCTGCAATCCTGCTCAGACCGTGAGTAATATTAGAGATATGATGATCATGACACCGGCCTGGCTCGGTCGTCTCTGCAGCCAGAGATGACAATTCCTGGGTGCGAGTGGGTCCCTGAGCAACGTCCTCGGGCGCCAGCTATGAACTGTCTCAGTGGGTTTTGAACACAGTGACTCTAAGTCATGAACCTGTACCGCCATATGCCTTGTGTCAGACCGATTTAGCTGAGAGGGTCGATAAGACGCGCAGATACACCAACATGAACCTTGCGACTCACGAATTGCAATACGTTGAGGTTCAGCTGTGTTGACGCGGATGCGATGTACGCTCATCTATTTAGAGCTGTGGCTTGCGTCATTCTAACGTTCTCGTATCTTCTACCACTCGGGGACGCATGGTTGCAGCAAGGCGCCGAAGCTCTAGGCAGAGTCAGAGGGTGTGCGGACTGAGCTTTTGACCTGGCGGCTGTTCACTCTCGGAGATGATCTCGGAGGAACTTTATAAACGTGACTTAGTGGCTATGAAAACGCGGAGTAAGCCGGAGTGCGGGTAAAAGGATGATGAAGTAACCGGTTAACGGGGTCCCTGTTTCCCCGCAGTGTTCCGGTTCATCAGCACGTTACACGCTCAAATCGTTCTAGATCTGTGATCCTTTTATTGCTTCTATCACTCTCATCTCTTCTTACGCTCGGTCCCGCATCGTTAGGGTAAAGGGTGTCAAGGCTCCGAGTGTCAGGGGGTGGGGAGAGCCTCATAACTCCCCTCTCTCTCGCTTGTCACTTCTCAAGAGACAGAGCCACGCAGATGCGACCCTCCCTCTCCCTCTTTTCTCTCTCCCGCGCTCTACATAAACCAACAATGCCACGTCCTTCAAATTGGAAGTCGCTCGCTCCTCAGCTAAGTTTTCACCCTCCGGAGCCTCCCCTCCCCAGGCTGCCTGTGCTCCCCTTGGAAGAGACGATCACCAAGCTCAAGCGCTCTCTTCACCCCTTGCGCGCGAACGAAGAGCAGTACATAACCGCATGCAAGAAACTGGACGAATTCTCCCGCCCTGGAGGGGTGGGACGGATGCTGCAGCAAAGGCTGGAGGAGAGAGAGAGACTAGGTGCATTGGGGGAAGATGGAGGCGAGGCGGGGGGACACTGGCTTGAGCGCTGGTGGGACGATGTGCGTCGTTTTCTTATGACATGGGCATATCTGATTAGTTGTAGGGTGCATATATGGCATACAGGGACTCGGTAAGCCATCCTTACATACAAAATGCCTGGCTTATACATCGTGCAGATTGTCGTCAATGTTTCCTACTACTACGGCTTCACTCCCCAACCCGCGCACCTCCCCTCCCACCCTGCGTACTGCGCCGCCTCCCTCACTCGCGGAGCCCTCCTCTTCCGTCGCGCACTGTATGCAGGCAAACTGGCACCGGATAGCGTGAAGGAGGGGCCTCTATGCATGGACGCCTATAGGTGGATGTTCGACTGCTGTCGTGTCCCTGGTGTTCCAGCGGATTGGGCGGTGAGCTATGCCCAGGATCTTGCGGTACAGGGAAAGCCGGGGCATGTGATCGTCATACGAAGGAATAGGTTCTGGAAGATCGAGGTCGGGGACGTTAATGAGGAGATCTTGAGTACTTCGGATCTGGAGCGGTGCGTGTCTTGACCTTTGTCCAAATAGGGAGCTTATACTGATGTGGGACAGTCAATTCCAACACATCTACACCCACATGACAGCTGACGGACCCGCAGTCGGTATTCTCGGGGGCAACGACCGCGACACCTGGTCGTCCGACTACGAGCGCCTCTCTCTCTCCCCGTCTAACGCCTCCCTCCTACATGCTCTTCAATCAGCCGCCTTCGTCGTTTGCCTCGACACCGAGCGGCCAGAGAGTATCATAGATTTCTCTCGCGCGTGCTGGCATGCAGGGACTTCGGGCGTCTCCTGGGGAAATAGGTGGTACGACAAGCCTCTCCAGTGGATCGTGTTCGACAACGGCAGGGCAGGATTCATGGGTGAACATAGTGTGATGGATGGTACACCCACTGTCAGACTATGCGACGCTGTCGTGCGAGGCCTACAGCGTCCGGACTTCGATAACGGCTCGGTGTCTCCTACTCCACTGCCGAACCCGGAGGAGCTGGAATGGCACCTCACCTCCGCGGACCATTCAGCAATCCTCAGCGCCACCGAGTCATTCTCCACACTCATACACTCGCAAGCGATGAGCTACCACTGCACTTCCTACGGGAAAGCAGAGATCAAGAAGTTCTCCGTATCCCCCGATTCCTGGGCGCAGATGCTGATCCAGCTCGCGCACGCGCGGGTGTTCCCAAGCCCGCCGGTAGGGACGTACGAAGCCGCCACTACTCGGCGATTCGAGCGCGGGAGGACGGAAACGATCAGGACAGTAAGCGAGGAAACTAGGCTTTGGGTGGAGAGTATGCTGGACCCTGCGGTGGGGGACGAAGAGAAGAGGAAGAGGTTTAGGGAAGCGTGTGCCAGGCATATCGCCCTGGCAAGGGAAGCGGGCGCAGCCAGGGGAGTTGATAGGCATATGTTTGGTGCGTTTTCCTGCGCATATATTTCCACGTGTGCAAGCAGCTTACCCCCCTTCAAGGGCTGAAACACCTTCTGCGTGAAAACGAACCCATGCCGGAAATCTACACCGACCCACTCTATCAGCGTGGTTCCACTTGGGTGCTCTCGACCTCGGCGATATTTAGCGAGCATTTCCCGAGTTATGGCTGGGGCGAGGTCGTTAGAGAAGGGTTTGGAGTCGCTTACATGACCGGGTATGATGGTGCGTCCTCTTCCACACCCCACTGCTTCGGCTCGCTCCTGCCTATACTGCCGGCACTAACCGAGTGTAAACAGATAGGATCCAGTTCACGATCACTTCGAGGAAGGAGATGCCCAACGCAAGGTTTTGCGAGGAGATCGAGAAGGCCGCGGAGGAGGTCAAGGACCTGTTCGAGAGGGAGAAACAGGACGGGAAGGCGAAGCTTTGACTTTGACGTTGAGCGGGAGAGGAGAGAGAAATGGGAGTGTCATCTGGACTGGGCAGACGAGGGATGAGGTGGAATATAGAAGGTGGAATAGACCTGGAGACAATGTACCCGGGGAGAAAATGATATCCTTTTTGCTTGATTTCTTGCTCAGTGCTGAGTACAAGGGCCCACAGTGCAAGGCACCCGGAAGAGGGCACAACCAGAGGTGGTGTCTGAGAAGTCTAGAGCTACAGCTTGCCCTGCCGGCCGTGGCGGTTTAGGCGAGGGTCACGTGGACGGAATGGCTGGGGAAGATATTCCCTTTCGAGGGTTGGCGCCTCAGGCGACATAGAAGTGGTGGAGGCAGACGAGATAACGATAGCAGGCACCGGCGCACGTTTTCGAAGTGAGAACGATATCAAACACTTTATTTGATCAACAATAAACTAGAAGCATACATCTCGTCGCTCGTCACCAAAGGAAAAGGGACCGGAAATAGGCAGAAAACAACATGAAAGGAAAGGAAACGATTCAGTCTTGAGGTATGAGCAAGGACATCACAGCATTGTCATCTCTCCCCTGGGAAGCATATCTTCAACCACATGCTGCACCTTCTCCATCAAGTGGTGCTCGTGGTGCTCGTGCTCGCCGTGTGCGTGCTGTTCGTGTTTCTGCTCAGTGGCAGGAGCGGCAGACGTGGACGACTCGGCAGGCTTCTCGGCCTCGGGTTTCTGTGGCGGGTGAGCTCGTGTCAGAGATGGGTTGGAAGAGGAACTGACCTGAGCCTCCATCGCTGCGGGCTGCTCGGCCTCCTTGTGCTCGTGGTGGTGATGATGGAACAGCGTCATGTTGTGTACGGGTGGGGAGGTTCGGTGATGTTCTGGGTAGTGCGTGGGCGTGCGTGTAATCGGGTCTGACTGACCAGGGGGTGTCGAGTGCCTTACTTATACCTCGCCTCGACCTCAAGAGGCCTGCATTCCAAACACCCTGGCCAGTGTCCTCCTGACCCAGAAATGGAAACACACGCGAAAGATCAAGAACCTTCCCCGTCATAAGCCTCTCCCATTCCAACAGGGACCGTCTGGGCCCCACAAGTGAATTAGGGGCGAGCTGTCCGTTACAAGTTCCGCACAGTGAGGCGCTGGGGGGCGTATGTGACTCAAGCGGTTGGGCGGTTTGACGGCGGAAGGGTGCAGAAGTAGGCGACGGCCCGAGAGTGCCGTTCACGGATCGGACCAGGGACTTGGCGGAAAGGGTGTTCCCATTGTTCGTTCCATTAAAGTGTGGCAGCGGAACAGAGGAATCGCCACATCGGAGTTACAGATCCCGCAGTTCGGCCGAAGACACTTTGGTGGCGATGCTCCCGCATATCCGCACTAATCAACATCGGGATCCGAACCACTGGCAGCCCAGTCAGTTCTGAAGATGTTTTCCGCTTGTCCAAGTCTCGGATAATTAGATGATGATGACACTGAATGTCAGGGAATTATTGGGAATGTTGAGAAATCCCTTTAGATGTTTTCTTCCAGGGGTTAAGAAGCGAGCTTGGGTGTTTGTTTGGAAAAGAAACATGCCTATAGCCAAATACATCAATATCGATATCATGGTTTGGAAGACCTGCTTTGAGCAACCTGAAAGGTTACGATTATGCTTGCATCGTTCTCACTATCCATTTGCTAAACCGACGCTGATGAACCAACTCTGGTCCAAATGAGCTTCGTGTACACGGAGCTGTGTGCAACCCTTCGGAGCTTTCAAGGGTGCAAGCACCAAAGAAAGGTTGGGACTTACCCAATAAATATTGCACTAGCGTAAGGGAGTGATAGTTTTAGGGCCCATTCCACCTTAGGGCTCCCAGTGCACAGACTTATTGGTATCACAATTCTTGCACAGCTGTGTAAGTAAACGATAGTGTTAAGTTACAAATCCAACCTTGGATGTGCGCTGTTTCCAGGAAAAGCTGCACGATGAGGTGAATTTACGGTCAATTGTCGATCTTGTTCTGAAAGGCGATGAAGGGAAGGAGGAGCTTTGTTGGCCGCGCGATACTCAAGTTGTCGGGTTCGGAGGTTCGAAGAGGCCGGCGGAAATCAACGCATTGCAAGGTCCAGTCGGAGCTGTTCACTATCGCAAAAAAGGAGCATGGATCTGGTAGAAACGAATGTTCGAGGTACTTGGCCCGCTTGGTTCTTTCAGTGTGAACTCGAACATGGTGGGAAGGCAAGAAGGCCCTTGGCCAGGAAAGCGGTGTGACGACACATACAACACAGCCTCCTATTCCGCAGGCGTCCATCTCCCAAAGGCCCAACCCTTGTCCCACTTTCATTGCACATCGACCACAACGACCACCCAATCATGTCTCTCCAGCTGAACCTTAATTCGCCCGAAATTACCGAGGCGTATAAAGAGGTTCTCAACGGTGATCCGAGTACGAATTGGGTGTTGTACACCTACGAAGGAAGGAGCAACGATCTCAAGGTCCAAGACACGGGAAGCGGCGGCTTGGAGGAGCTCGAAGACTCATTTAATGATGGCAGGTGCGCACTATCAATGGCTGTCGGTGCTGCTATCGGGCTGAACTGTTCCCAATAGGATTCAGTACGCGTATGTTCGCGTCAAAGATCCCAATGTACGCAGTCCGATCCCATTGAGATATGTGCTGACCATGAACTTCAGTCCGGATTGACCAAGTTCGTCCAAATCAACTGGTGTGGTGATGGTGTACCAGAGTCCAGAAAAGGACTCTTCCGTAAGTCTTTACATTGTTCTGCGAAGTACTACTGTTCACCAGCAATGTCAGACACGCACTCTGCCACACTTACCGACTTCCTCAAGGTCGTCCATGTCCAAGTCGCAGCACGCAGTGATGCCGATGTTGATCCGGATAACATCATGAAACGTGTTGCCGACTCCTCCGGGTCTAAGTACTCAGTGCATGCGGAACAAGCAAAGGCCCCCGAACCAATTGCGCCCATTCGAGGGAGCGGATACCAGCCTATTGGCAAAGTGGATATCGGCGAACTGCGCAAAGGCGCCAAACCTGCAGAGCCCATTGCTCCGATCAGGCCTGCATATCAGCCTGTGGGAAAGGTCAACATCGACGACCTCAGGCAAGGGGCCAAGCCGGAGGGACCGATTGCTCCCGTACAGGGTAGCGGGTATCAAACTGTCGGGCGGGTTGATATCGACGACCTCCGCAGAGGCGCAAGGCCAGAAGAGCCAATTGCACCAGTCGTCGGCTCTGGGTACCAGGCTGTGGGCAGAGTTGATATTGCTGAGCTCAGAAGAGGTGCCAGACCGGAACAGCCTCCTGCGCCCGTTATTGGGAGCGGTTACCAGCCAGTGGGCAAAGTTGACATCGCCGAACTCAGGCGAGGCGCGAAGCCTGATGTTCCCATCGCACCTGTGGTACGTGTCGTTTGTCTTAACGCATGGGGAAACTTTACTGAATAACCAAACCAAAGGGTACTGCTTACACACCAGCCCGCGATGAGCTCGCCAACTTCAAAAACCTTGCCAATCCCCCACCACCTCCAGCTGCTCCTCGTCCCACGCCACCTGCAGCGTCGCGCCCTGTGCCTCCTGCTGCACCGAGACCTGCGGCCAGTATAGTCTCTGTTAAAGTGAATTGTATGCTGATACTTGGACAGGCTGGTGGTTTCGACCCGAGACCCGTCATAGCAACGCATGCTCCAGCCCCGCGATCTCCGGCTCCTACGAAGCCAGCTGAAGACGATCGTATTGGACCTGTAGTAAGTGACTATACGCATTCATGTACGAGTGTAATGTTTTTCTCAATCATCTCAGGGCACCGCGTATACACCCGTCTCTCTGCCTGCTCCGAGGAAGCTCGTGAATCCCTTCGCGAATCGCATGCAACAGGAAGAGAAACCAGTCGTTCAGTCCCCGACTCACACCGGCCCCAAGAAGCTCACTTGGAGCGAGCGCCAAGCTCTTGCAAAGAAGCAGCAAGAGGAAGAAGATGCTCGCACGAGGAGCCTTGCGCCACAGACGACGTCTTCCTCAGGCAGGGTGGCTGACACCGTTGTTGCTGGCCCTGGTGTTGCCGTTAGTGGGGTCAGGAGCGCTATGCATGCACTTACAGACGCGGTGTCGGGGACTGTATCCCCTCCTCCCCCTCCCCCTGCCGCGCCCAGGCCGCCCTTGCCTGGGCGTCAGGAGACGGCCGAGCCAGAGGAGGAAGAATGGCCAGAGCACGAGGATGCTGGACCTCCTATGCCTACCTCGGTTCCTGCGGCTCCACCACCGCCACCTTCCGCACCTCGTCCTATGGCAGTCGTGGAACCCGAGGAAGAAGCCGCTCCTCCTCCTCCTCCGCCCCCGCCGCCGCCGCCTCCCCCTCCTGCACCTCCTGCACCGGAGGAACTCGAGAATGTTACGACTCAGGTCGCCACTATGCAAGTTGCGGAATCGCATCCGGCTGGACCGAGAGCCAAGGTCATGTTCTCTTACGAAGCCGCGGAGGGCAACGAGGTCGACTTGGTGGAAGGCGAGGTCATCTACGGTGTTGAACAGCTAGATGAGGGTAAGAACTCGTTCTCCGTCGTAAATTCAGGGTGTCATTTACACCAAATGCAGGTTGGTGGTCTGCCACCACCGCAGAGGGCAAGACCGGGCTGTTCCCAGGTGTGTTTCACTCAGAGGACCCGTTGATCAGATTCTGATAAGACTGCCAGCAAACTATGTGGAGCTCATAGAGGACGATGCCGAAACGGAGGCAACCGCACCCCCACCCCCACCGCCTCCGCCTCCGCCTCCCCCGCCGGCTGCCGAACCGGTTTATGAGGAGCCAGCGCCGCCAGCTCCCCCTCCCCCTCCTCCCGCAGCCAGTCGTCCGGTCGCTGCTGAGCCAGCTAAGCCATTTGCCATTGCGCAGTACGAGTCAGTCCACATCCAGTCTAGGCCCCCATACGAATAAGAGGCTTATCCAATCTTAGATACGAGGCCGCGGAGGAGAACGAAATATCCTTCGCCGAAGGTCAGAAGATCACTGATCTGGAGTTTGTAAGCGATGACTGGTGGTCTGGCCGAGTTGAGGGGGGTCCGACCGGTCTCTTCCCTGGTAAGACAAACGTTGCCTCAATCCTTGCCGCTGGCACTGATAGCGTCGGGTTTGCGCAGCGAACTACGTCGAACTTCACGAATGAGAGGGACCAAAGACGGCCTTTACTAACCGCCGGAGGCACGTGAGGGCCTTTTGCTAAGGATACATGCCTGTTTAGCTAGTAAATTACACATGTTGACAACGTTGCTTCGGCGCCTCCCGCCGAACTCCCTTTATATGGATCGATAGGAATTACTTCCGTGATCGTTGAAGGCTAGAAGCCTCAGGGCATTTGCCAGCTGAGAATAGACTGCATAGGACAAGTATTTCACCATACATTATGAACTGCATGATGTTGCAGCCTCTCGCCTGGATCTTTGCCTGCCGCTATCGCAAGTTGCTCTGTACCTGCCATGGCCGACATTAGGACCGACATGAAACCCACGCCCGTGAGCTACAACTAACTGGTAAATGTGTCTGATCTTACATGCCCGGACAGCGCACACGTCAGTCAGTTGACTCCTCCAGTGGCTTTAGCAGCATCCTTGGGCCGTTGACACCGGCGCCTAATGTGGGCAAACTCAATCAACGCGGATTTTTTCCAGTTAGTACTCACTGGCTTGGGGTTTAGACGTCTCTGGTTTTGGAGGAGCCGTTGGTGCAATCCCCGCCTGGCAGTCGCGAAAATTCATCTGGCTTCCCTATTTCAGTAAGAATTTGCATTATCGGTGAACATGAGAGCTTACTTTTCCGAAGATTGGAAGGGTGAATAAGGATATTGATAGTGATGCTTTCTCTTTGCTCCTTCCGTCAGTCAAAAGCTTTGGACTTACCGAGACGCGGTATCCGGACCACCACCCGAGGGTAGGACTTGAATTGTCTCCGATGAAATCGTCGGTTGAGCAATTTCCCAACAACCGTGGTCAAGCACGTTCCGACATATCGACAATACTGACTGTGAATACGAGGTCTGCCACACCACCTGCACAGAAGGATGCTGGGCGACCTCCTGTGGGCGTCCAAGCGCCACCACCTATCGGTCGAGATTCGGAGCTTCTTGACCCGAGAAAACTCGAGATTGAGGCTGCGAATGACAGCGACAGTACCGAATCGGACCAGGAGGCAGATCACGCCGTACCCAACGCAACGCATGCGAACGTCGACCAACCGGTGCGCGCTCGTATCTGCACAGAGGAACCAGCTCCAATGGTAGCACTCTCTGTACCGGCATCCAGGCCACCGAAAGCCCATGACTTTGCTCTTCCAAAGAGGTTCCACAGTTCGGGATCCGAAGCACCACCCATGCCTCCTCGACCCACATTAGGTCAACTCAAGCAAAGTGGACTGGTACCATCTCAGTCAGCTCCGACGGTATTGCCCGGCGCCGAGACTGAAGGCGCTAGTCAAGATAATCTAGCTACACTACTCAAGAAACTCGCTGTCCCCATTGTTACGGCCTCAAAAACGGATGGGTCTCCTGTCAACGGGGGTGCGTTCGCTGATGTTTGGCGTGGTCTCATGACACCCGACAATCGGCCTGTTGCGCTCAAGGTCCTTCGCCTTCATTTGCGAGGCACCGACAGTCACAGAGTACACAGAGTTAGTGGATCTAATATCTACTCGAGAAATTTTGACAGATGAATCACAGGCCATTGCACGTGAGGTATCCGTGTGGGCTAGACTCCACGACAAGAACGTGCTGCGCTTCCTTGGTGTTCGACCCCAAGATGATGGGAATAGCCTCTGGCTTGTATCTCCATGGATGGAAAAAGGCGACGTTAAAACGTATCTCACGAACAACCCCAACATTAATCGCTTCTCTCTGGCAAGTCACAAGTCTCAACACTTTCTGGATTCACTGACACGTCACAGGCCTCTGGGGTGACCAGTGGAGTTGCGTATCTACATAAGAACAATATCGTACATGGCGATCTCAAAGCGGTACGTCTGATCTTGACTGACGCACGCGGGCCTCATGCCTTACATACCCACAACAGAACAATATTCTTGTCACCAGCGATGGCCAACCACAATTAGCGGATTTCGGTCTATCTGTCGTTCTTGATGATGTTCTGCCAGAGCAAACGACGTCAACGATGTTTGCCGGATCAGTCCGATGGATGTCCCCAGAGCGAATTCAACCAGCCAAGTTCGGATTGACTCATGCTTCTTGTCGCACGCTTGCGGGCGATGTGCACTCTCTTGCCATGACGCTCTGGGAGGTCAGTGGCATCAGATGACATTGTTTCATGGGCTGACATCACACAGATCTTCGCACTCAGACTGCCGTATCACGAATTGACTCAGATGGATGTTCCAAGAGCCATCGTGGCCGGCGAACGGCCCCCTCATCCCGGCGAGACGGCAGATGCGGTCGGTTTTACATCCGAACTATGGGAATTCATTCAGAAATGCTGGGTCGAGGGACCAAATGAACGACCCAAGCTCGCGGAGCATCTTGATGACGGAGATGACGGGTCAGATACAGAGTATGGCACGAATCAATCAGTGTCGTCTACGTCAGGGAAGGAATCGTCAGGGTTGAAGGAAGCCACAAGTGGTACATATGAACGACATGCTTCTAAGCAAGCGCTTTTGCTGACCCCGTTGTCAGACACCTCGGTTCAACTTGCGGTGACCACGGCATCAGCAGATATCCCGGTCTCGGAGAGCCCTAAGCCCATTCCCCACCCTGTTACTGCGCAGACACAGGGTCTCCCAAATGAAACAGACATGAAAGCTCTTCCCAATCTCATGACCACACCCGGTTCTGCATCGATTATCGCGAACGTTTCCCCTTCATCATCTTCTAGTAATGAGACTCAGCAGCACGATGCTGATGACAAGAAGGATACACCTACTTGCCTTTCTTCGGCAACGCACTCCAAAGAGAAAGCGACGGTAACGGGCAGACCCATGCTTGAATCGCAATCAGCCCAACAAGAGATCAAAATCACCACTGCAGTTGGCGATGTTGGCTTAGTAGCTACTCCGCGTCAAGTGGAGGAAGCAGAATTAGAGCCTATTGAGCAGCCCAGGCCAGTCCAGGCGGATGGGCACGGCACTCCTCGTGGCCCTTCTGGACAAGGTTAGACTTGTGAATCTTCCAAAAGTATGCTCCTCTGAAACGTTTCTATGTTATATGCAGAGATAGTCCTCAATCAGCGCACACCGAGCCCTGAAAATAATCGTAAACCTTTCCGTCAACGTGCAGTATCGCAGCCATTCAGCGACCAGCCTGACGTACCCACGCCACTTTCACGAGAGGTTATGTCAGACCCGCTAGCAACCGCACCCAGCAGTATATTTGGTCGGATAACACCAGAGGAGAGCGTTGGGAATACCCCGCGTCAGCCCGGTTTCCACCCTGCGTTCGAAAGCCTGTGGACAGCGCTTCTGGATGCTTCACAGGATCCACATTCCTCCAAGATAACGAGTCCTAGGAAAGAGTCATTGGGCGACGTTGTCGGGAGAAAAGCCAGTCCCATCAGCATTCACACGCCTCGCTCAATCATCAAGGAGCGAGAGTCTGCCGAAGAACGAGGCGAATCTCCCAAGAGCCCCCGCAACGTGGCATGGTCCGACCTTGTAAGTGATGCTGAGGTGACCCCTACAAGCGTACGGGGCCAACCCTCCAAATGGGAGGTAGAGCAGCCTGCACGTGCGGCGATTGCAGGCACTGAGCCAGCTGCTCTCTCACGTAAACCTACACCGCCTATTTCAAAAGCGTCTGGGACAGGTGAGTGTCATAGGTATAACGTGTTTCAGATCGCTCACAGGTTGACCAGCATCGGATAAGCAACGCCTGGCGCCAAAACCTCTGCAGCCAGTCAATGTCTCTCAGGTTTCTGAGGATATGACGTCACAGCTGATAGTTCCCTTCGCAGTGTTGGTGACCCCAGATGTGGACAAGAAGCCCGTCTTGCGTTATGCTCGCGATGAGTCAAAGGGTGTAAGCATACATCCGGATCTCTTATTCCTGCTGGGCGTTGAATGGAATGGTCCGAAGGATGAAAATCCCAGGGAAAAGGTTAGGTCTGAACCATCGTCAAGCATAGAAGAAGAAGTCGCAATGCAACCCAACAAGGGAACGCATTCTTCATCTCATGACTTGATCGACTTGATCGACCTGACACCGCCGCCGGCTGCCGAGACTGAAACCAAAGTCAATGCCGTAGAGGTCGTACTTGAAGGCACAGGGAGTGAGTATGGGTCATATATCCCCGTGGCCTACTGCCTCTTATTCTCTGCTATTCACAGACCTGATTGACTTTGACTCTGACGAGCCTACGTCAATCGCTTTGCACCAGGAAGCTTTGGACCCTTTTACTGGTGAGGTTTCGGATGTCGTGATTGATGTACGTTATATCACCAAGACATTGACGTTCACTCGGAGGCTGATGGATTCTAGAATCTCGACCTGACGATAGACCTCACCGGCCTCAAACGCCTGTTTGAGCCTTATGGGGAGATCCTAGAGTACGTAGTGTTGTGGCGTGGAGAAACAACTTGTCTCACTTCAATTATTGCAGTGTCAATATCACTATGGATCAGCGCGGTATACCTTTGGGGAGGGCTTGTGTGACTTTTGCTGATCATTCAGACGGTAGTGCCTTATTCGTCTCTCTGAGCATGCTGGGTTGACCTATTAAACAGCGCAACGAGCAGTCAAAGAGATGAACAAGAAAATGATTCGAACTCAACGGATCACCGCAATGGTCGTCGAGCCAGCGTTTTCGCTGTAAATAGCTCTGGACTCTGTATCGAGTGGATGATCATTCTTGATTTCACCATCCATGTGTGATATGTACCAATAGTGGCTTTCAGACAGAAAAGCCAGCGCAGAGTCTCGTATTGACCCCTCGGAGGCTATGACAATTTACGAAAGGCGTCTATCTCACCTTGGAGCTAAATACTGCGACCATTTCAATCAGGCTCCCACTCTGCATGGTATGTACACACCCAATCCAGGCTTGGGGCTTGAGGGGCAAAGTCATATGGTCGTATGAACTGCGGAGAGCAATGAAATCGATTTGTTAGAAGGTGAAACGAAATTGGGTTTTTTTTTCCAAGTTACAGCAGAGCGATATTCATGCCAAAATCGAAAATAAAATAAAATTCTTGTGCCATATTGGATCTGATGGCTCATTCGAGCCATATGTATTGTGTCAGAGAATGAAAGACTTTATGACATTATCGCGTACCGAATCCGCACAACTCCCGCCTGCTGGAAGCTCAGACATGCCAGCCGTTCTTTCGTGCTCTTGCTTCTCGTGGAGCTCCTTTTCACTCTCCATTCCTTGGGATGGATATTGTTCACTGCTCCTCAAACATTGACAGTCTACATCTCTTGTAGGAAAGCAATTGGAAGTAAGGGTTTCAACGATGGTTCGAGAGATCGATCCACTGACCGAAATACTGTAGACTTATAGTTCGACCGAGGTGTTATGATGTATCTGTAGCTGATCTAGTTCCACCAATTACAGAATGATGGAAATATGGACTTGCCTGTTCAATCTTGCAATTGCAATGATCATGATATACGTAGCTCTGAAGTCCTTGCAACACCCTGTGTGACGAACATCTTATGCTTCCCGGTGGAGTGATAGTATATTCAGATAGATGCCAGCTCACATATTGCAGCGATGTCTCGGTCGTGTTGCAAATAAAGAAAAAGCCTCAGATTTCCTTACCCCGCGGTACTTGGGGTCCTCTCCGCCGAGTCGGCAAGCTGGACGGCAAGTTCAGGGATGTGCCCCCATGACGAGGCCAGACATCTGATTGAACTGCACCTTTCCTGGAACGGGTGCTTCTCTCCGACTATGTGGACATGTCGCCTCTTATCAACCCCCCAGACAGTCCGAATTCCGAGATGAGGCGCTTGTCTCGCACCGCCATCTCTGCATGGAATCTGTCACAACTGGAGGTTGGCTCTCAGCCGCGATGTCCGGGACAACACGAGGGACAGCAGTTGTCGACAACCCCGTCCTCAGCGAACAAGAATTCCAGAATCTCATCGAAGCCCTTCAAGCGCCCAGGGTACAAGTAACAAGTTGGGAGAAGGAACCCAGAGGACACGGCCATTATGCGGCAGTGTACACGGGGAGAGCCGTCGTTCAGTCGCGCGAAGTATCAGTCGCCTTGAAGGTTTTCCACAGGAGAGATAGTCCAGAGGACGTTGCGCGCCTAACCCGAGTATGTCTCTCTAGACAAGCCGACCTACAGGATACCTATTGACGTGGCGCTTAGAACCTCATCCGAGAAACCAGAGTATGGTCCCATTTGCGGCACCCCAACGTCCTCACACTTCATGGTGTTTACCCTGAAGTCAGAAGTCGACGTGTCTGGCTCGTATCTCCGTGGATCGAAAATGGAAATCTGTCCCAATACCTGAACGTGTACCCCCGCGCGGATTGTATTGCTCTGGTGCGCCATCTTTTGAATGCAGTTAGCCTCATTATAATTGTGCTTCCCAGTGCCGAGGCATCCTGAGCGGAGTCATCTATCTCCACTCCAAGAATGTGCTACAAGAGGACATCAGAGCGGCACGTGCTCTTCTTTTACCCTTTTCGCGTGCTGACTCCGAATTGACCCGGAAAGACCAATGTACTCGTTGGTGTTGACAGTGTTCCCCTTCTCGCAGATTTTGGTCTATCAAGGTTTCTGGAAGAGCTCCCACCAACGGTCGAGGCAACCACAGGCATGTATTCCGGATCATTACGGTGGATGGCGCCCGAGCGTATCCAGCCTGCAACGTTCGGTCTGACGACGACCTCTGCACAGAGCGCCGCGAGTGATGTGTACTCAGTGGGAATGACAATGTACGAGGTAGTGGATGTTCACCCGTGACTCCTGGTGCAGGCTGATCCAAATCATCCAGATATTCGCTCGTAAAGCTCCATTCCACTTGAAGCGTGATGTTGAAGTCATTCAGGCCGTTGTTTCAGGCGAACGCATGGATCATCCAGGCAACAACGCCATCATGCGAGGGATGACTCCAAGGATTTGGGAATTCATGTGGGATACCTGGGATGCTGATCGAACAAAGAGACCGAAACTCGAGACGGCACTTGAAACGATTTTATGCGATGGTCCGTTCGAAGGCACTACCAGGTCTGAACTGAGAGGCGTGACCCGACAGGCATATAACCGACGGCATTGGCTGGAGATCGACCTGGTCGCCAGCGAACCAGTGTACGAGTTGGAACGCTGGAAAGACGGTGAGTTGTATTGGTTTATTGACATTATTTGCTCATTTGGAAACTTAGGATTCTATCTGGGAAGAAAGGAACGAGGAGAGAAAGGAATATTCCCTGGTTCATCCCCTTGGTCCTCACCATTATCGAGCTTACTGGCTTTGTAGGCTATCTCATCTATCTCGAGGATCAATCCACATCCCGCCAAGGACCTGCATATGAGCCTAGGGTGTCTAATGCTGTCGGCGTGAGACCTCAGCCAGTACAGAGATCAACCATCCAAGTACCAGCGCCTGATCCCTACGATATCGGTCGAATCAACATTGGTCCATCCAGGACTTCAACATTGTCAATGGGACCGTACCCAACGACCTCCGTGATGTCCGCAGCACCCGCACAGTATCTCTACGAAGAGCCCCTGGACATGAATACGAGGTAACTGTCAGTTTTTTATGCGGCCGGCGTTGAACCAAATAACCTCGTGGAGCAGGCTGGCTACCCCTCCGGATGACGATGAAACTGACAATGAGGGTTTCGTTCCAAGGCTAGATGCCCCACTTTTGGCCGCGAGTCGTTTACCGCAGCAGTAGGTCTTCTACTCACTGTAGATCTTATCGTATGCAATAACATCCCAACCCAGATCGGGTTACCGAACTCATCCGTACACAGCTTTCCCACCACCAACCGTGGAAGAAAGGGAGGAAGCTGACCAGTCTCGTCCTTCCGTTGTCTCCCCGCAGGGACCTCGCCTCCAAGGAGGATATGCAAACAACCCTTCCCAAGCACAACTTCCCGCGTCCCAGTTCGCGCCTCCCCCTTATCCACCGCCGGGTGTGCCTGCCAAGCGTAATCAACAACTCCGTGCCGTCCCGAACGAAACGAGATCTGAATACGTCCGCACTCTGGATCCGGATCCTCGTGCTCCTGTGCCTCCGCCAAGGATCGCTGGAGGTTATACCCAACGTCCGGCTCCTGCCAATCCCGCACACCAATCGATGGTCGAAATAGCGACAAGGGAAACTGAACTCAGAGCAGACATGTTGCAGAATCAGCCGATGCAGCCCAATTATCCCCTGAATGCGAGGCCAACTGCCCAAGATATTGATATTTTATATAAAATTAAAAATTATTTTAATGTTGGAAATGCATCTGCATACAGTGCAAATCAGCCAGTACGAACTGTACGAAACGTGCCTGTGGCCCAACCTGCCTACCAGACCCGCCCCGACGCCACATACGCCGTCACGACGTCTAACTCCAACCGTCTACCTGGGACTGCACGGCGCACACAGACCGCAGCAGCACCTTCGTCACAGCCTGCGTACCCACCGCGACCCGCACTGGACCAGAGGCAGTCATATGGTCCACCTCCGACCAATGCCCCAGGGCCTGGATTCATGCCCATCACTCAAGGCGCGCCTCTTCAGCCAGTCCCGCAGGATGGGCAAACCAGGCTTTTGAATCCGCACGCACCGAGGCAGCAGCATAATAGGGAGATAGACGAGGTTACGGGATACATGCAGAGTATGACCATCCAGCGCCCAGCGCCGGGTGGTCCGCAACAGCCAGCTTATTGGCGAGCCCCGCAACCACGCTGACCTGCCGCGAATTGTGATTACGTTCTTTATATCCTGGCGATTTGATTTTCGGGAAAGCGAAAGGTTTGTTGTAATGTCTTGTATTTATGATGTGTCGTGATGACCTGTTCCTGTATGCGTAGACAAGGATTATGAAAATTATGAACTTTGAACGAAAGTGAAGGTAAACAAGACAGCTCTGAATAGGCTAGACTTGTGTAAGATGCTTTCGGCATGACGTCACGACATGTTACCCTTCGCCTGCATAGGTCGTTGCTCAAGGCACACCGAAGCGTTTCAATTTTCAATCGACCAAGATTCTTTATTGAATCACCGCGTTTTGCGCCTCCCTTTCTTGGGTTAAGAAAGGAGGTTTAAAACAACCTTTCTTGACTTTTCAAGCCGAGAAGCACCATCTGAAACCTGTGATTGGCTGCAGTGCTTCTTCACCTGTTTTGACCCAATAATGGGCCAAAACGCGGTGAATATCCTAGTCTTGTCACAAACGTCGAGGCGCGGCAGAATATGTGCGCTGCTAGCCATTCCGCATTGTTATAATTGATGGCCGCACAGAAAAGCTGATTTGTGCATGCCGGTGCAAGGTTTCCCGTCTGATGGGTCGAGCTCATACGGTGACGCTAACCCTGAAATAGCATATGGGAAGAGCTTGTCATTTTGCTTCCGGTTGCTTACTGGCCGTTGTGGCCATGCGAAAGAAGCACCGCCGAGACAGAATAGAAGCTTCTTTTCGGCTGCAGCAATCCCCATTCCGCATGTCCCGCAATCCCGCAGACGTGTTTTGTCCCACGTTCCCAGCGACCCCCTCTTCCCCCTCGTCACCCTTATCGCCCTCGTCACCGTCCTTCTCCTCCTCCTCACCTCTCCCCTCTTGGCCTGTCCTTTTGAAGTCTCAATCTACGTCGACGCGTAAAGGCCCGCAACGACGCCACGTTCACTAAAACCACACACTCGTTTAGACCAACACGCCGCGCGCGATTTTTCTGTGCTTTCTCTCCCACATACAGTCCCGTATTCCTATTATTACCTTCTCTTCTGAGCCTGTCTCCGCCTCTTGCTCTCGACCTCAGCATCTAACCCTCGACACCTGTATCTGCACCTGCAACCCCAGCTCTATTGGAAATAATGGACCACATGCACAAATACAGGCACACTCATGTCGCGATGCGACAGGTCATTCCTCCCCCCATCATTCCTCCCCCTAGTGCGCATACATCCACAACTGTCTGAACAGTCTCTGACATATGCTACAGCCTCGACCAAGGCGACCACGACTTCCACCACGACCAGCCACAGCACCTCCTCGTCGTCTAGTTCCACGACTACATCAACTACCACTACCTCAACCTCAACCTCGTCGACACCCGTCACGTTCGCAACTACTCCACCCAATTCGCAGAGTTTAGCCCCCAACACATCTCCTGTTCGTCCGCTTTTTAGCTGTCAATGATATGCGCTTATATGCTCGCAGGCCGGCGTCGCGACCTATGCCGGCAATGGAAACAACTCTCCGCCCAAAGGAGCAGCGACCTCCAACTATATGCCCATCTTCAGCACTGGTGCAACTGTTAGGCCTGGCAGCATTGCGGGTGCACAAGCAACTGGCGCTGCCGGAAAGTCATCTACGACGAGCGGTAGCATGAGCACTACCACAATCATTGGTATCGCCGCAGGTGGTCTTGTAGGCGCGATAATTGTCGGCGCGATTATCGCATATATTATTGTATGTGCCCTTTTGTTCCATATGTTCTCTCTTTATCTGACCTGCTCAATAGCGACAATGCCGCCGACGTACCCGGGCGGAAGCGACATTCGACCGCAACTCGTTCATCCGGAATTCGGTTCTGCTCGATGACAAGAATGAGAGCACTACCTCACTGGCAATGGACGAAAAGCTGCGTGGTAGCGCAGGCTTGCTGGCACCACAACCCATGCAACAGTCAAACTCGAAGTTGGCACCTCTGGGTGTTGGTATTGCCGGTGGACCGCGGCCTCCGAGTATGATCCAGCGGCACTACGACGCGCCGGCTCTTCAGCCTGGGCAGTACGCGCAGTATCCTGCGCAGCCGCCGAGTGCCTATTACCCGCCGGGGGGCATGCCCCTTCGGTCACCCTTCGCGAATAGTCCTGGAGGGGATCTCCCGTCTTCTCCAGCCGATTCATTCTTCACGCAAGCGCAACTCCAGTCCCAAGGCGGCAAGTATTATCCTGGCCAGTACAGGCAGAACAACATACCTGGTACCCCGGTTAGCCCTCCTGATCTTGGACGTACGCCTACGTACAATAACCAAGGCACCGATCACGCGGATCTTGCTCGTGAACCGAGCATAGGCACTCCAAGATCTGGTCGCGGTCTCAGTGTCACCCCCTTCCAAGCGCAGCAGTATGCGGAGATCTCTAGGCTTGTCAATACGCCGGTTGCTTCAAGCCCGCCCATGCCGCCCAACAAGGACCATGGTGACTATGACCTTCCGGCAAGGAGTGTAGCTTCTCCGCCTCCTGCTATGGGCAGACCTATGGACATGTCGCCTTCAGGTTTCCGCTCCCCGTCGCCCCCGTCCCCCATGGCACCTCCCAGGAACCTTGTCTCACCATTCCAAAGAATTGATTCGATGCCCCCAATGCTCCCTCCACTCTTGAGTTCGCACACATCCGATGCCTCACTTTCCGGATTCAGTTCTGACAGGAGTTTGAACATGCAAGGGCGATCGGGGACGCCGACTGACCCGAACCCGCAACAGTATTTCACCGCCACTCGCACGACGAGCCCACAGCAACTTCAAGATGTGCGCTCGAACTCGGGCTACCCTGCGCTGGTAGAGCCTAACCACTCCCCTCGGACACCACAATTCCACAGTGGCGTCTCTACAGCGTCGCATTTCGGGGAGGCTGGCAATTTCAACAGCGCAGGCAGCCTGAACAGTCTCGCGCAGAGCCATAGCGGAAACAACCTGTCTGTTCCCGGTGCGGAGCCTACCAGACGTCTCAGTGTGAGGAACTCAGTCGCGAGCGACGCGAGGTACAGCATGTATGGCGAGGACGATGTGTATGGTGGTATTTGAGCCGTGCTCATATTGTGTCAAACAACGGTAGGATATGGTTATGAGCTTTGCATTCTGTCCCCTGGTACCATGTTTCTCGCGGTGCCGGTCCTGGTGACGGCTGTCTCCCTTTTTTGTGGCCTGTCCTACCACCGTTCAGTTTCATTTTCAATTTTTTCAAGGACTGGCTCGTCCAATTTTCTTCTTCACAATGTCTCTCACGCCGCTGAAATGGGCATATATCCCTACTTTACTTACCCTTTTGTGGAGTTTTCCGCATGTCTCTCGTCTTATGTGTGGAGAGCGAGAAACCCTTTTTCGAGAGAGATCACCAACCGTTAGGTACAGCCATACACATTCCAAATCGGATTTGAATCCGTTTACTATGTGAATAACGCGAACGCGCGCCTGGGATCTACGCCCGTTGAATCTTCAGCACCCTTACCAACGACGATGAGTAGGAGAAATCATTACCTGCACACCTCTATTACAAATTGTTGCTATTGTGTTCCTTTAACGTACTACTGGCTTTCGGGCAGCGTCCTGGGCGTTAAAAGACTGTCATCTTCTCTCGGCCTCTCGCCGAACTTCGACGAACATGTTCGCGTTCGTCATTACATCAAGCCTAATTTGCCGCCTATTCTCTGGTAAAACATACCGCCAAGCCCCTACGGCTTGAGAGTCCTAGTTCCCACCACTTATCTTTCAATCTTCTGGATGCTTGTTCCTTGGCTTACCTCCTCGGCTCTTGTCAGATAACCCACACCGCTGGCCACCGATAATATCGGTTGTTTCGGTTCCCTTGAATTATTGAGCTTTACGAAGGGCATTTGCTTGTGATTGCTTGGATTCTGAAATAATGGCCTTCGCGAAGTCAACTCTGCGGTGGACGATTATCTGCTTGGCACTTGTCAGATATAGACTCAATCAACTCTATAACACAAGGATGAGGGCTCTGCTGCTCTTGACCTCAGCAGTCCAAGCCTGCTTCAATTTGACTTGAACGATGAAGGACTCGTATTGTGATGTGCTCATTATTGGTGCTGGTCCTGCGGGAGTCATGTGCGCCAATGCACTCGCACGTGAAGGTATCAGCGTTCGCGTCGTCGACAAGCGTCCGGAGAACATCCCTGCAGGGCAAGCTGACGGTATTCAGCCCAGGACGATCGAAGTTCTGCATGTAAGTATCCTTTGCATACGCGTAAAACAATATCTGACATATATGACCGCAAAGAGCTATGGTCTAGCTGACAAGCTGCTCGCCGAAGGTGCTCATCTAAATATGATGGTTAACACATTTCTAGAATTATAATTGATCTGACCGTCTTATCAGGCTTACTATAATCCGACTCCCGACGGCAAAGGCATTGAAGTATGCTGCTCGGGTTGTTCTTAATTATGACTTGACCAAACATCATTAGCGAACATCTCGCGCCCCTGATGTAAATGCCCCTACGACCAGGTACCAGTACAAGGTGTGGCATATTTTTGACTGCATGATTCAACTGCTGGAGCAGATGGCGGCATCAGATCACGCTCAACCAAACCGCGATTGAAGATCTATTCTTGAACTCCATGAGGCAGAACGGGCTGCATGTCGAGCGTCCTGTTATTCCGACCAACCTCAAAATTTCAGACGATGAGACGGTGCTGAATGATTCGAAAGCTTATCCTGTGGAGGTATGTCATGTTTGTGCAGGCTCACATTTCATTCTTGCTCATTTGACAAGGTCACCTTGCATCGGTTGTCCGGGCCCGAAACTTGCACCATGAATGACACCAGCAGTCACACGAATGTCGTCGACCCAACTGTCGAACTCGCCGCCGACAATGAATTGGACGAACGCGTCCATGCTAAATACGTTTTGGGTGCTGATGGTGCTCATTCATGGGTTCGCAACCAGTTAGGCATCAAGCTTGAAGGGGAACATACCAAACACATCTGGGCGGTAGTCGACTGTGTTCCCGAAACAAACTTCCCTGATATCCGGAATCGGACAGCGATACATTCGAACAACGGAAGCTGTATGATCATCCCTCGCGAAGGTATAGCTGTCCTTGTCGTGTATAGTACGGCTGCTGATGGCAGCAGGTGATCTCGTGCGTTTATACATTCAACTGGCGGACGCAGAGGATCTAGCAAACGGTGGGAGGCTTGACAAGTCGCTGGTCACCCCAGACCGCATCATGAATGTGAGGCGGACATACAGTATCAACCAATGACAACCAATTGTGGCTGACGTGTACCTCAAAAGGTCGCCAAGAGATCCATGTATCCTTACAAGATCGAATTTCCGCACGAGCCTATCTGGTGGACCGTCTATATTATCAGCCAGCGTGTTGCAACACAATTTTCCGTCAAAGAGCGAGTGTTTATCGCCGGTGATGCCTGTAAGTATGCCTCGTCATGCCCGTTTTATATCTCATCAAGTGCATACTATTAGGCCACACCCATTCGCCCAAGGCTGTATGCAATATGTGCGCTTTCTAGGCTGTATCTGACAACCTAAAACAGGGATTGGGTATGAATGCCAGCATGAATGATACACATAATCTGGGTATGTGCCCTCGATTCAATGAGCTTGTGCGATCCTTGATCCTTAACAGCCTGGAAACTCATACACGTATTACGGGGCTGGGCGTTTCCTAAACTCCTCGAGACGTACGACTTAGAACGGAAGAAGTTTGCCCAGGATCTCATCAATTTTGACCGTAAACTAGCGGACATGTTCTCCGGGAAGGCAGTCACTGCAGATAACATGGATGGAGTATCTCACGAAGAATTCCAAGCGTAAGTAAAAACTGACCCGACCGACACTGTGTCCCTGAGTACCGTCAGGCTTCTGAGAACCGAAGGAGGATTCACCGCGTCAGTGGTCTGCAAACACGTGCTCTATCAGGTGATAACAGCCAACACAGAGGAACGGGCATTCAATATCAACCTTCTATCATCACCCAGCCGGGCTCCACGACATCTGGATCAGGGATCTTAGTTGTTGGTCAACGCGTGCCTCCCCAGGTTATCTTGAGAGTTGCAGATTGTCGACCATTTGAAATTCAAGATCTCCTCAAGAGCGATGCCAAGTAAGTGCTTGGTCAGGTGCTGGACTTATGTCTGGAGTATTCTCAATCTCGCTCAGGTGGAAATTACTGTTTTTTGTAGGAGATTGCAAGGTGGGTTCTTTAATGACACCGGCCGGGCATGCACCGATATTCTCGTAGCTTGAGAAGCAGATTGCCCTTGTCAATGCTGTCGGAGAACATCTACAATCACCTTCGAGCTTCCTGAAACGATATACGCCCAAGGAGGCTGCTGCAGATGCTGTCTTCCTCATTCTTTGGATTGCGCGAACTCAGAAAGAAGTTGCAGACTATACGGACGTGCCCAAGGGATTGCGGTCACACTGGTCAACGTAAGGCTTACTTCCGAGGCAGACCTAGGCTGTTTCTCACCTCACTTCAGAATTTACACTGACGACGTTGCTGTCGATGGCAAAAAGGGTGGGGATGCCTATGAGAACTATGGCATTGGGCATGCAGGTGGGGTTGCTGCTGTCCGTCCCGACGGATACGTCGGGTATGTGGGAAGCCTCAAAGAGGTCTTGGATGGGCATCTTGATGAATATTTCTCCGGATTCATGTTTAGCTCTCTTTGAATGCTGACTCAATTTTCCTTGGCGGGCTAGATCCTCTGTGTAGCTTCGAAATATCTCTGGACAAAAGAAGAAAATGTTCTATTGAGGCGACATGAAGTGATGCATTGCATCTCTGATGGTATTCCGGAAATGAGATGGCTCCACTTCATATGATAAGACTGCAAAGAAGCTGAACCCTCCGCCGAGGAGATAGGACAAAGTAAGCTTCGGCTATGTTCGCAGTTAGCTGTGCAAGAAGAGTTACGCGGAAGCTCTACAAACGCACGAGAAGGATCCGCGGGCCACTTTGCCTGAAACGGTTGGTGCAGGTCAGTGAAAGGGCGTTTGCTGGAAGATTACATATCGGCAGTCCCCTGGCCCAACCGCACAGAGATCTTCTGCATCTTGGCGCACTGTACGAGATGACACCTGTTCTGTAAGTAATCTCCCACGTCCCTGACCGCTCATTACGTCTTAGATGACGTTGTTGGCCAACATTTGCCTTGTTCGAGCGGCTACCAGTCCCGATTCCCGTTGCTGGCATGAGAGTGACGGACGGCGTTCCTTGTACAGCGTATCGTATTTGCCTAAGATGGATAAAGTCACAGAGAACTCCTCCAAGCATGTTGACAAGCTCCTGGAATATATCATACTGCCGGCTGATCAAAGCGATCATATGGTCGCGTATGCGCTTGCGCTCTAACCCCAAGTTCCTTGGGTGGTATTCTCTTCCATTTTACTCCGTGTACCGTCGTGTTGCTTGTCCTGGACAACTATTTGTCCTATATAGCTAAGGTCAGCAACCCCATTCAATGTCGACAACGCATTGTCTCGACTACTAACCTGGACACAAGGACACTCCATCATCGAGCCCTTTCGCGTCTCCAAAGAAGCTCGTTATAATGAAGGAATCTCGATGCGATGTTTTGATCATTGGTGCGGGACCCGCTGGGTTGATGGCTGGGAATGCGTTGTCTCGGGCAGGCGTTAACGTCCGCATCATCGACAAGAGGTGACCCAAACGCGTGCTCCATCGACACCGAGGACTAAACCAGGACTGTATAGGCCAAATAAAGTCATGGCAGGCCAAGCCGACGGAATTTCACCGCGCACCATCGAAATGCTCCAGGCGAGTTCCAAGATGATTGGGGGTAACTCGTATGCTCATGTGCTTCAAGAGTTACGGGATGGCAGAAAGGCTGCTTGAAGAGGGTGTTCAGGTTCACATGCTTGTACGTTCCAGCTTACCTGCACCGTGACTCCGATTATAATACAAATCTCCAAAAAGGCCTTCTACAATCCCAGGCGTGATGGGAAGGGTGTCGAGGTACCCGCGATTTATTCCGCTGTTCTCAAGCTCTAAGTAGTCAAACAGCGAACTTCTCGGATCTCAGACGTCAACGCACCAACAGCGCGGTGGCAATTTGAGGTCCGCGTTTGACGCGACCCATTCGATGACATGCTGATGAGCTGAATGCAGATTGCGCTTCACCAAGGAAAAATAGAATCCATCTTCCTGGAAGCCATGGAAAAGCATGGTCTGCTCGTCGAACGCCCATACTTCCCAACAGCATTGGAAGTGTCGCAAGATGAAGCAGAGCTCAAAGACCCTACCTCATATCCCGTGAAGGTCAGGAATGTGTTCATATTGGCCACAGACGACCCTCTGATCTCCATTCAGGTTACCGTTCAGCGGGTGGCGGAACCATCGGTCAAGACCAATGGTGACTCGCAAGCATCTCACAATGGAGTCCAGAGCAATGTTTTCGAGTCGAACACCGTCATTCAAGCTGACCGACCCGAAGAAACAGAGATAATTAGGGCGAAATTTGTCATTGGCGGAGATGGCGCACATTCTTGGGTCAGGAAACAGCTTGGGTTCAAGATGGAGGGAGAGACCACACAACACGTTTGGGGTGTAGTCGATCTCGTGCCGGAAACTGACTTTCCCGACGTACGCCATCGCACGTTGATCCATTCCGATGCCGGTAGTTGCATGATTATCCCGCGTGAAGGTGACGAAGTTCGACTTTACATCCAGTTGATCGAGGGGCTGGACAACGGAGTTGAAGGAAGGCTTGACCGATCCAAGGTCGGGCCGGAGAAAGTCATGGCAGTGGGTCTATCGTTAGATGACCACGGCAGGGAATGTGCTGACGCGAACGGATAGATTGCAAAGGAAGCCGTCAAGCCTTGGAAGATGGATTTTCCCAACCCCATCTCCTGGTGGACGGTTTACGTCAGTAAGTAGGCACTATTCCAATTTTGAGTCAAAAGCTCACAAAAATTGCAGTTGGACAAATGGTTGCAAATCGATTCTCGGCGCATGAGAGGGTGTTCATCGCTGGTGACGCATGCAAGTACTTTCTTTTCACAGCATATATGCGGCTCATTGTACGGCAGGCCATACGCATTCGCCAAAGGCGGTAAGTGCCATCATGCTCTATCTGGGACGACCGCTTAGGGTGTGCGTAGGGACAAGGAATGAACGCCAGTATGAATGATACGCACAACTTGTGTAAGTGCCCTGTCGTCGTATCTCCCGTGATGCTCATCCTACTCGAGCATGGAAGATCGCCCATGTGCTGAGGGGATGGACTAACATCGATATCTTGAAGACGTATGAATTCGAGCGGAAGAAATTCGCGCACGACCTGATCAACTTCGACAAAAAGCTCGCGTCCATGTTTTCTGAGAAAGCCATCAGCGAAGATAACCTGGATGGTGTGGCCCCGGAAGAGTTCCAAGAGTAAGGAAACCCTGTTAGAAGAACTTAGCAAGTACTGACGGGGAAAAAGTCTCTTGAAATCAATGGGTGGCCTCACCAGCGGCATTGCGATCGAATATGCTCCTTCGCTTATAACGGACAACACCTCACAATCCTTTGCGCCTGGACTGATGATAGGCCAGCGTGTACAGCCGCAGATCGTCATGCGTGTCGCAGATTGCCGCGCATTCGAGATGCAGGACCTTATTGTCAGCGACACCAAGTGGAAGCTCCTCTTCTTCGTTGGCGATCCCAAGGTTTGTCATGCCGTAGAATTGCGAGATGGGAGCTGAAACCCTTTGTAGCAAGAGAAACAGGCGGCGATTGTCAAGCGTCTTGGTGAATACATGGATCGACCAGATTCCTTCATCAGCAAGTTCTCGCCAAAGAATGACAGGCAGGCTGTGTTCACCATGCTGATCGTTTCGTCCACGCCCAAAGATGAAGCGGATTACACCGATATTCACTCGGGCTTGCTGACGCACTGGTCTAAGTGAGTGGAGTTCGACGCGATCAAATACGCCTCAGCCTGATATGTCTGCAGAGCATTCACAGATGACATCTCCGTCGACAGGAAGAGCGGGGGCCGGGCGTATGAGACGTATGGCGTGGGAAAGACCACTGGCGCGTTCGCTGCTGTTCGTCCGGACGGATATGTGGCATATATCAGCAGCCTCGAAGGGGTTGTGGACGGCACCGTCGACAAATACTTGAGCCGCTTCATGATAGAGCAACCGTGATCTCCCTGTCCAGGATTGTCTTCTTCCTCCAATGGGTGGATAGGAAAAGCGCTTTTAGGTCGAAAGAAATATGTAATGGTCTGGAAATTAGATTCAGTATGGCTACAGCTCGTCACGTGGACGCTGAGATGGTGTTGCTAAGATCTCAAAGAAAGGTGTTAAGGAATCGAAATTCAACGTTCCTGTAGCATCATCTCAGAGCCGGCAGACACGGAGATCGTGGTGCACTGACCGTCATACACAGTTCGCTCTCCATCCTTCCATGTCACGACCTTGGTCTTGTCCGTCCCAAGGTCAAGGGCCTCCCCTATTGATTGGTCTTCATCCTTAGCGATGGCGAAGTTAATGCGCTTGTGGAAGTTTGCCCCGAGGACGCGCCACAGTATCGGCATCTGCTTCTTGTCTGTGAGCAGTAATGCCTTCGGCTGCTTCACCTCTTCCTGTTCAGTTGGTCTGTCAATCAAACGGTAATAATGTATGGCAAAGCAGCATACATCATCAATCCACTCATTGACAGCATGCATCCCCCTCAGCACTTTGACCCGATTCGGCACCTCACTCTTAGCCCAATCGATAATGGGGCCCGCTGTCCTTTCCTGCTGGTAATCATGCGCGACGCCCTTCAGCCCCCGCGGGAAGGACTTGAGAGTGGGAAACCCCTTGATACCCTGGGAACCGCACAGAGGTTTGTTCTCCTCTGCATCGCAGTCGACGGCGTAGAAGGGGATGAGAGGAGAGAGGGATCGGGCTGCCCCTTCATACTCTGGCGACATCTTTTGGCAATGCTGAACGTCATGTCAGATATTGAATACCACAGAAAACGGGGAACGCACACCACACCATGGCGCTACAAACGCGACAATGCTCGTTTTCTATGAACATCGTTAGCAAAAGCTGGACGACAATGCCAAGATGGGACGCGCCTCTTCAGAAAGAACCCGATGAAAGTCGGAGCTGCGCAGCATCTGGACCGGGCTCTTGGAGTTAAACAGCGCCCCAAACGTAAGTTCCGCACAGGCAAGAAGGACCGTAGTGAGTGCAATTGTTGTGCGCATTGTGAAGTGACCGAGAGGCAAGCTGGGGATATAGAGGTGTGTGCGGAAGGTAACGTGCAGAGGGCAGCTTACCAGAACGCTTTCAGGGCCACGTCGACGTGTCGACATAACCGCGATCGGGCCGACGCGCTTCAGCCGGCACGATCACCTTAATTGTCCGTCTGGAATGTCTCATTTCTCATGAACGATACATGACATACATGTAAACTACATATCAGGAGTCCGAATGCTCATCAATTTCCCCCTTCCGTGAAGCATCTAACTGTTAGCAGTAGTTGCAAACCCGACCCGCCTGTTAGTCGTATCATATACGCTATAGAAGCGCTCCAGGAAGAAATAGCCATTAATGAAGTCCAAGCCCTGGCCGGACTCCGATCCTAGATCCGAGACAATCGAATAGTACGCATTGCGCGTCCCGCCGAACTGCTCATTCAAGCTCTGATCGAGCAGCTGATCGGTGCCGGTGAACTTGAAGGTCGTTCCGCCGATGTTGAACGCTAGGGGCTGGAGGGTCGCTACCTGATTGGCGGGGACCTCAAGCAGGCCTGAGTTCTGGTCTACCTTTGATCCGGGGATAGCCTGCATGTATGCCTGGAAGGCGTCGCTAGCGATGAGCACGAGCGTCGTGCCAGTGTCGACGATGCCTGCGGAGCTCAGGATCTGCTGCCCGCCGTAGGAGATAGTCTGGTCGATACCCCAGTAGTTGCTGGCGGGGGAAGTGCTCGTGATCGGCGTGTAGGTGACATCGCTCGTGATGCGGCTCTGGTCGATTCCGCCGAAGGTGAGTTCGCCGTTGGGGGTGCCAGAATGCGTGGTCGGCGCGTAGTAGATCCCGATCATCTCGGTTTGGATGGTACCCTGCTGGTACAAGTTGTCCGTCACGGTGGGCACTGGCTGTCCGGAGGAGACGGTGCTATCTGTCAGGTCAACAGGGCCGATACCGATGATGCCGTCGACACCTTGGAAGCCTAGGGAAGCTCATCAGCGACTGAGGTGAATGAGATACGTGTGAAATCTCACCCTCATCAGTGGAGGCGACCCCAATGGACTGGTTGTTGATGACGAGTCCGCCGCCCAAGTCGACTTGGTCGGTATACTCCTCGCCAGAGAACTGGCCCGAGCCGTAGGAAACACTAACCGTCGAGCCCGTATCGTTCGAGGTGGAGGTAGGATTGTACGCCGTAGCCGCACCACACCAGGTGTTGCTGCTCCCTGTATCGATGAGCAGGCTGTAGGTCGTAGGCGGGTTGCCGATGTTGACCGCCATAGTGTACGTCTGGAGGATATTGGTCGCGCTCACGCTAGTACCGTCGCTCGGCATAGCAGCCGCCTCCAGCAGTCCCCCGATGCGAGAGAGTGTGCTGGGGGCTTTGCCGTACCGACCTGCGACGAACTCGGACGCACGGATGCGGTCGTTGTGTGCCAGGCCGATGGCGAGCTTTGGCTCACGCAGCTTCCGCATGGGGAGCTTGAGTGGGGCGCCCGTACCGGCAGCAGGTGCCTTGGTATGAATGGCGGCGACGTGCTTCTGCGTGTGGGACATGTTTGCTTTCGAATGCTAGAGATAGATCTGAGGTTGTGGAAGAGGGAGAGAGGCGAGTGGGTTTGTGCATGAACCTGTGACGTCTGGACGCGTCTTATATCCCCTCGAGGATCCATGTGTTAACCATCATGTAGAAAGGAGCAGAGGATAGAAGACAGTTGAGAGGAGAGGGGCCAGAGCCAGGTAATGAGGGGCTCCGACCGTCCATGGTCGCGAATAGGGATACGCACAGGAGACGAGCAGGAAGCACCATTATGCCCGGAGATAACGCATAATGTTGTCGTCCCTGACGATCAAGTGCGCAAGCATGCGTCATACGGGGTTTACACATGACAGTCCAGAAGTCTAAGTCATGGTGCGGGGCACGCAGACAAGTACGTAGTGGAGATGGAGTCGTGGTTGGGGATTGCGAAGGCGACCGGCGGGACGACGGCAGGCGAGCAACTTCAACATCCTGTGCTGCATTTTCCGGCGGATATATCATTAGGCAATTGCAAGCACACTGCAGTACTCCTGCGGAGTGACCAGCTAGGAGAAGGAGAAGCTGGAGCCATGTGCACGGGAGGGAGATAAGGTCGTCTGCTCCTTTTTTGGCGCGGTTGCAGCGGCATTCAGTCCGGTCTGGTGCGAGAACAAGTAATTCCGGCGGTTTGGCAGATACGACAGACGATCAGCTGTAAAGTGAACTCTCCGTGGGCTAGAAGCTGCGTCTCGCAAGCTGATAATGAGAATTCTCAAGTGCATGAGCAGAAAGGAGAAGAGAGTAATAACGCGCTCCGAGTCGATGACGTGTCGGGTGCAAGTCAATTTAACCGCAAGGTCCTTTCGCGCTCAAGTCTATTCCTGGGACCTTGGGACCAGGTCTTACAGGCAAAAATTACATCGTTTTGGTCCCGTCGTGCTGTGCAGAAGCACATCACGTGACTGTTACTGCCAGTTCATCTTGAACTGAATGCAGGGTGGGAGGGGGGTGGGTGTGGGAACTGCTAGAAAAACCACGGATTTGATCAAAATTAAATGCTGAGGGCCCTTGTCCAGCAACAACCACATCTGGTGGCCTTTCGCAGACAGCTGGGACCCCTAACACCATGGCTGTCCATGAACATCCACCATATGAATTTGATGTTAGCTCAGGGACCACTGGGTCCTAATTGGTGTTTGGCCTACAACCATGTGACATTGGAATCAATTCATAGGGCCTTAGGATCCTAAAACCATGATGCATCCACAGAACCAAAGGTCCCTTCTCTCTCTCTCTCCATCCTCCACCATCTCCTCACTGGTGAGTACATGCAGGTGAGTCCCCTAACCTCACTACTTATTTACTAACTTGTCTTTAGATAATATCGACATTACTTGGCCTCCTCCCCTCCCTCCCAATAGAAGATGGTGTGGGGAGGGGGGTTTATCCCAAACACTGCATGCATGGCTTGATCATGCTGCAGTGTTTTTGTCTCATGCACACACACAGCTTGACCATGCATGCGGCCTGTGCGGGGTGAGTCTGCATGGCAAGGCCATACACCTATCCCTGTCCAGGCACAACATATTTGGAGGGAACTTCATGTACAGCTTGACCATGTACCATGTCCCTTTCAAATATGGACCACTTTTGAGGGTCAATGCATGGCAACGTGTACTCTACACCTCCCAATGAGGCATCAGGAGAAGGTCCACTGGAAGGGGAGTCAACAGAGGTGGCCCATACTTTGTAGCAGGTATCACTAGATAAATCAAGTCTAATTGAATCCTTGACTCTGAAGGTAGAGCCACTCAAATGCCAGTCTGAAGGTCCTGTGTGGGCTCTGAGGCTGGACACAGCAATCCAAAGGGAGTCCAAATGAGAGAGAGAGTAAGGAATGGCTGAATTAGGTGAATGAGAGGTATTTGAAGGTTGAAGGGGTCAAATTGAGGCTCAGATCTGTCTTAGAGAGAGAGCAAGACTAAAGAGTGACTGTAGAGTATAGCAGTAGTTATTAGGGTAAGCTAGAGAAACACCCATCTTGAATGAGTGAAGTAGTGGGTAAGTGAGAGAGGAGTCCAAGAGCCCTATCTGAAGTACCTGAGTCCACCTATATACATTTGGAGCAGTTTGGACCTTTGGACTACTACTAATCTATGTGTAATCTACATTACCTAATGCTATGTCTAGGGTCCACTTCTGGCTTTCAATAGTCCGGTCCGGCTGAGTTCAAGATGCCATTTGAAGAGGCATTCAAATGTTGGATTTGAGCTCAAAACTTGGATGTGCAGCACAAAGGCCATGCATCTGATCTTTCAAAGTGGTATGAATGGCTCAGTGGGGTCTTTGTGCGCCCTGTCAAGCTATGGACTTCATGGAGTGCACAGCTAGACCATGCACCCATTCCCCTGGATTCAACACACTGTATGGGAAGAGGTAGGGGAATGGGGTTGTGGGAGTGAATGCTCAGCTGGGCCATGCATCCTCCTGTCCATGCTGATTGATTTCCATTAGGTGGGTAGTGTATAGATGGCTGTGAGCTGCATATGAGTTTGGGATGGTAAGATATGGGCACCATCAAAGACCTGATAGGTAAGGTTCCTGATGTAGATAATTACCATGTTATACACAGTAATAAAAAATTATGCCTTCTTCTCATTGAAAAAAAAAACAGTTCACATGTACTCCACACTTCACAGGTTCCAGTTCTGACAATCACTTTGACATAGAAACTATTACATCATACAGTTATCAATACCCCCAAGCAATAGACCAACTATCTATCCTCTAACTTGACTTCCTTCTTCAGCCCAGGAAATGTATGCTGCATGACTCACACCCAGTTTGCATAGGGTCTGTATGCATAGATTGACTACACCCTGATTGGATTGGAATGTGGGTTTCCTCTGGATACTGCTTACATAGACTAGATCCCAATGCCTTGGCATCCATCCAGCACACTCCAAGTCAATGATGCCCAGCAAGTTGCCCAGCCCATCAACCAAAATATTATGTGGGGTGAGATTGCCATGTGCAAATGCTGAGAAGTGATGTAAACAGATGCTTCCCTGTGCTGCAGGCCAGCAGGCACCCTCATGCACCCCCATGCATCCCCATGCATCCCCACACACCCCCAGACACCCCTGCACACCCCCATGCACCTCTATGCACCTGTGCACAAGTGCCTCCAGTGGTGACCCAGTGAGACCCTGACCTTGCCTCCTTTTAGGTCTTGCTTGGCCCATTTTTGCCCTTTGCATCTCACCTGCCAGTGCCTCTGGACCAGTCCACCACACTCCTCCATGTATTTATACACCCTGTCTTGTGTCTGACCATGCATCATGATGAAATTGAGATAGCTCTGAGCCATGCCATGCAGCTCTTCAAGGAGATGAGCTCTTGAGGCAATGCTATGCCCCAAAGGGAGCTGTGCAAGAGAGCTGAGCAGCTTTTTGTAAAAGGAGTGTGAGAGCCCCATGAAGAGGAAATCACAAGAGAAGGGACTCTTTCCAATGCACTATTCCAGATATTGCTGGGCAATGGAGATATTTATGAAGGAGATGTTGACATTGTGGACATCAACAATGATCATGCTGGACCTCAGGACTGCCACCACACATGCCCCATGAAGAGGGCCAGAGATGTGCCAGAGGAGGAGGAAAGTGGGATGACTACCCCCACTAGTGGCAGATGGGACAGGAGTAAAGGGAAGGACCAGAGTGGGGATGGGCACCATGGCCAGCATCAGCCAGACAGACACCTGTTGGCCAAGAAGGCTTGTCAAGATAATGTGCCTCCTGCAGCTGCAGAGACAGACAAAGGCAATAGGACCAGTGTGTTGGTTTTGGACTTTCATCTTGACCATATGCTCATGCTCCATCTTTGGTATTCTCAGGTGCACAAGGGGAAGAAAGAAAGGCAGGAGATCCAGATGAAAATGGTCACAATGATGGAGCAAATGGTTGTGCAGGTGCACCAGATGTTTTTGTTGCAATGTCCCATCATGAGAACTTACCCAGCATCCTAGAGTCTATGGTAACGGAAATGGGAATAGGATGAGACAGGGGGAGGGTGCCTCATTCTGCATGGCATGCAGTGCTAGCCATTGATGGCAACAGCATAGCCCATACAGCAAGTTCACTGCCTCCAGTGATGACTTTGGGTCATTAGCCCACATCTCTCTTCATCATGCTCAAGTGCAGTGCAAGGCTGCAGGATGCCTTAGCAGTCTCTATTCCAGCATACAATGATGCCCAGCAGCTACTCCTCAACCTTCCGCAAACTGCACCTGCCCAGCTTATGTTTGAACAATGCCCTTGGCTAGTGTGTTTCCCTGCGGCCAACCTTGATGCTCTGAAGGAGGAGGACATCAAGACCTTTGTTTCCTCAGCCATGAATGATTGTGGTGAATCCACCAAATAGCAATTGAGGCCATTTCACCTCCTCTGGCACCCCAACAAGTTTGTCAAATACCAGCCCCATTTCTTGCTGAAACAGCTTGACAGTGTTAAGGAGGGTGTTGTCAGGGCACACCATCTAGCAAGCTCAAGATCTTGTATTGAGGGTGAAGCTCCAATCTTGGTGTAGCCCTGATGCCTAAACAACCCAATATTGAGCATACCAGAGCTCAGTTTGGGTTATTGTGACACCAGGTGTAGTGAAGGGGAATAGCAAGGGGATGGTCGATATCATCAGAGCATGTCAATATCCAGGAGCACTAAGCATCTTGCATGCTATTGAGTGTCTCATGTATTCTTGAACAATATCATAGAGTCCTTGGCCATGATGGGAAAGGGGAGTAGGATTGAGACAGAATCAAGGGCATTGGTAATCCATCTATATGACCACTGGCCATAGACTGGATCTGTGAGCTGTTGACTTGCCATTGAGAAGGGGTTTTGTGAAGTGAAGAGGGGTGCAAGACTCTTGAATCAAGATATCATGAGGTGTCAAGAGACAGCTGCCAATATTGTCATGACTCTCAGAGCATCAGTTTGGGGAGTTGTGGACATCAGTGGGGGTCAACACCAACTGACAGGGAATGCTGACTAGGCTTCGTCCTATTGCACATATTGGCTGTCCATATAGCAGAGTTCCAAGCATTGAGAAAGGCAGCACATAGTGAGCAAGAATGCAATACTGAGGGGCTTGTCCATATCAAGGGGAATTGGCTGTTCAGCTGGGCCAAAGGTCCAATATCATCCCAACATAGGGCTATTGACCAGAGCTCAAGTTGTCCAAGAGGAGGACTTGGCATATCAGTTGAGCAATCAGCTGCTCAGAGAGGTACAACAAGTAAATCAAGGTAATCATGAGTGGAGGATGCTCTCTCAATGTTGATATTGAAAAGAGGGTCACACTATCAAAGCACACTCAGCTTCTCAAGGGAGATCAGTCATAAGACCAAAATATTGACTAGACAGTGGAATTCCTGAGAGATCAAATCTAAGGAGTACATCACAATAATGGGCAACTCTATCTATGAAAGGGTCAGAAGCAGTTTGAGATTGTGGCTGATAATCTGTACAGGAGAGGTTACCTCAGGGCAAGCCTG